TTTTACCTTCCTTTGTGTTGATAGCAATGACTCCCTTGCCTTTAGCACTTTGAAGCTTTCCATCTCCAAGTTTTACTTGTGGAGTGATATTTTGGTCAAGCTCCACAAAGATATCCTGGTTTCCAGTCATATGGTTATTGCAACCACTGTCCAGGTACCAAACTTGTTGAGATTCATGTTGAACACTCATGCAAGAGAATAGGTGGTCAGGCTCATCTTTTGAAAAATTTGCATCATCATTTTCCTTCTTTTTTGAAACCAACAATCCCTTTGAGAATGGTTAGGATTTTTGCATTTCTTGCACTTCAATCGACAATATTTTGTCTCATGATTAGACTTTTTGCAAATACGACAGCTAGAGATAAAGTTACTAGTTTGATGTTGGGAATTTTTTCCTCTTTCTTTTGCTTTCACATTACCTTTATTTTGATTGTACTGGCGTTTTCCTTTCTTTTCGAATGAGCCACCCTTTTCCATTGCTCCGATTTATTTGTCTTCTTGTTGGAGAAGCTGAGTTTGGATTGGAATGCTGGGTCCAAAGGTTGGCTTCGTGATCTGTTTATTCTTTGCTCATGTGCTTGAAGAGAACTCATTAGCTCATGCAAAGTATAAGATGAAAGATCTTTAGATTCCTTAATGGCTGCAACAACATGATCAAATTTTTGAGGTAGGCTTTGGAGAACCTTTTGAACTATCTTCTTGTCTTCAATGGTATCTTCATAGCTCCAAATTTGATTAATATCTTCAACAACTTTGGAGAGAAATTCTTGGATGGACTCACTTTCCTTCATAACTATGTTATCAAATTCCCTCCAAAGAAATTGCAGCTTTATAGAAATTACTTTGTCATGCCCTTGAAATTCAATCTTCAAGATATCCCAAGCTTGTTTTGATTTATCAACACCAAATATTCGAGGGTAGATGGATTTGCTTACCCCTTGTTGAATATATCGGAGTGCACTTGCATCTTTCTTGACATTTTCTCTGTATAACTTCTGTTGCGCATCACTCCAATTAGATGAACTCCCAACTGGAGGTGGTTCTGGATAAGTGCTCTCGACTACTTCCCAAAGATCCTGAGAGATGAAAATTGTCTTCATTTGGCTGCTCCAATAGTCATAGTGTTCTCCTCCAAAGATGGGAATTTGGTTTGGAGAGTATGCAAATATAGTTAGAATAGATGGGACTGCCATTTGAATTGATCTGGAGATATTTTGGGAATGAATAGAATTGGAAAGAATGGTTAGAAATGAATACTCTGATACCAAATTTGTTGGGACAACGGAAGTGTGAATGTGTTAAGATATAAATTAAAAAGGTTGTGGATGAAACCAAGAGTGAAAAACTATATTGAAGTGCTGCAAATTTTCATTACATAAGGGACTGAATTGCAGATTAGCAAAATACTTGAAAAACATGTATAGAAACTCCCCTAATTTGATTCAGAAGGTTGCTGGTGCCCCGGGTTCTTTTCTAACTCTGTTTCTGTCGCTACACGTTTTGCTGCTGCACAAAGGATTGTTTGAGATCTTTGGGATGTTTTTTTGATGGCTTAAATTGCAGGAAGATCAACACTACTATTTTATACTTGCAAGTAAATGCTTCAGAAAATTCTGCTCATTAACTTTAGCCTTTTTCCAAGCTCTAGGGAGATGAACCAACACCTAGAACTTATTAATTCTCCTTGGCAGATATTTCCAAAGAGTAGACTTCCAAAATATTCATCAAATTATCTTCGTAGAAATTACAAATTATCTTTCAATAGAATTGGCCTGATTTCCAAACCTGCTAAGGTTTTACCCCAAAAAACCATGAACACTAGTGGTGGGGAGTTGATCAGGACTTTTGTCACTCTTCCCCTTTGCTTCCCTGTTCAACTACATGCATTGAAAACCAAATAAAAAATAGGGTCATCAAATGGTCTGTGGAAAAAAAAAAAAAAAAAAACCAATCACTATGTTTGGTTTCTTTTTTTTGATTTTTAAAAAGTGATTTGAAAACTCTATTTTGAAAAAGAATCGTTGTTTGTTTTTCAAAAACATGCATCATTACAATTTCAAGTTTCCCTCCAATTTAAGGAGAGAGACAATTTTAAAAAAAATGTCATATCAAAAAATACTCTGATATTAGTTACATATATATATATATATGAAAACATAATTTGGTAGGTACCCATTTATGGGTGCATATCCTATATTTAATTGTGTGATTTATTATAAAATTTTTACTCATTTCAATCATAGAAAACGTAATTTTTTTTTTTCCAAATTGGCATTATAAAATTTCTTTCGTTGAATTAAATTTTCATAAATGTTAGCCAGAATTTTTTTTTACAAATTCGCATTAAAAAAAAATTGTAATTTTTACAAATTTATTTACAAATTTGTGAAAAACGTAGGCTCCATTTGGTGGAGCTTTCAATATATAGTTCCACACTCACTTTTGATTGTGGTGTTTGTTAGCATTTTCAAAAATTAATTCCACTCACTTTTGAAAACTCTTTCCAAGGCAGAAAATTTGGGCTAACCAGTCGTCCGATCGGTTGATCGAAACAGTGTTCGTTTTTTTTTTTGCACCTATTATTTTTATATTAAAAAAAATATTTTTGAATTTTTAAATTTTTTTTTACGAGCTTTGAATAGAATTTTGGGTTGTGTGTTTGGTTATGAATTGTAAGTTTTTGTATCAAATATCATGTCACATCACTCAATTCAAACTCAATTTAAAACTTTTTTCAAAACTCACAACCAAACAAATTTTCCATAATCAAATCATAATTTCAAAACTCACAAACTCAAAATACAACTCTATTCTCAAATCACAATTCTAAAATTTTACCAAGTACTACCGTACTTTTTTTTACAAATTTTCGGGAAACGTAAATTTATTTACAAATTTTTGAAAAATGTAATTTTCGCAAAACATATTTTTTTTTACAAATTGGCATTAAAAAAAATTGTAAATTTATGTTTAAATTTATTTACAAAATCGTAAATTTGTTTACAAATTTAATTACAAAATTGTAAATTTGTTTACAATTTCAAATTTCCCTCCAGAAGTTGAGAGAGAGAGAGAGCGCTAAATACATTGACCAATTAAAAAAAAAAAAACTTGTCTCATCAAATTTCCGTCCAAAACCAAGATTATGGAAACTTTATCTCATTTTCAAAATTTTCAAAACAAATGGGTTTAGAAAAACTTTATCCCAATTTGTCTTATAATCAATCCCAGTTTAGCCCAGTCTGACTCGCTTAAGTATCCAGCCCATAAAAGATGATTTAGAGTTTTGGATAAATGTTTTTAACTTGAGCCCGCCCATGAACTCGGCCCGTAAGAGCCCACATGGGTAAGCCCAGCCCGACTCAAATTATCTTGTCCAAATTTATTAATATATATATATATATATATGAATAATGTTATATGAACCAATTAATGCATTAATTAGTGAATCAATTGATGACGTGATATAATTTAAGAGATTTTGGTATTTGTAATTTGTATAATAAGTTGGGTCAATAATAATGTCATAACTAATATTGGTACACTAATTAATATACTAATTGACACATATAGTACCACTTATGTGTGTACATATTTAATGTGCACCCCTCCACTGACAATTAATACTCTTAAAACTCTATTTAGGCTTGGTTTGGCATGTTTGAAAAAAGTAAAAAAGTCGAAAAGTCAAAAAGTTACTATCCTATTTAAGTCACATCATCTTATTTAAGTGAGATCACATCTTTAACACATCACTTCAAACCCAATCCAAACTCAACCCATATTTCATAAAAAGTCAAAAAGTACACTTATTTAGATCGTCCCAAACAACCCCTTAGTCATTACTGTGTGCTGGATTCCAAAAAAAAAAAAGTGAAATACCAAGCCATTGAACCATGAATTCATTCCATTCCATTCTATTCTATTCAATCAAACAACCCACCCCTCTTCTCTCTCTCATCTTTCTCTCTCTTTATATCTAATTACTCTCCCTCTCTAAAATTTTTGAAATAAAATTATATTGTGTTACTTGATTATATTTTATTATATTAGACGTAAAAAGGTAAAAATAAATAAATACTTAAATTATGTTGGAAAGTAAAAAAAAATAACTAATGAAAATATTAAAAATATGTAAATGAAAAATGAGTAGAACTTAATAATATAAGTCGAATGAAAAATATGTAACCCAGTTCAATTAGATTTTGGCCCCTAAAATTTGAGTTTACGGGCGAGATGCAGTTTTAGTTTTTAAAATAAATTTGACTCATATCAATCGATTGACTATTCTCAATTAATATATGAAATTTGGACAAAATAATTAGGAACTGGGTAAACCCAACCCCTCCTGTCCTATTGATGACCCCTAGTCAAAACTAACCCTAGAAAATGTTTTCAGAGTTTTGAGGTAAAAAGACAAAAACAGCATCTCCAATCCAAAAGCTAAAAAGATAAATGCAAATAAGTGCTTTAATATTAGAATTCACAATATTATATAATTGAAAAAAAGTTAATTGAGTTTTTCCTCTATTTGAAAAAAAGTTAATTGAGTTTTTCTCAAGTTTAGAGAGGTTTGTAAGATCATTACAGATTATATTTCGATAATTTAAATTATTTATTTTATATAATCTTTATTTATGAAAAAAATTAAATAGATATAATAATTGTAACATTTTTATTTTATTATATTTGGTATGTTATTGCCAACTTTTGGTTAGGTTACAGTCACAAAATGTTAAAAATTTGTAATTTTACTATAATACTTTGTTATTTTTGGCACAATCATTATTTTGTATTCCCAATTACAGTTAGATCTCTAAAATTCATTTAGCGGTGGGTAGCAATATCAAAATTTGACAATTTAGTAGAACTTGTGTCAAATTTATCACAAAAGACAGCAATGTTAAAATTTAACAATTTCAATAACAACCCCATCGGAGCACCCAACTGTTATAATATAAGCGACAGCCTAAACGAATTCATAATCAAAACAGGACGAATTCATAATCAAAACAGGTTTTATTATAAAATTTTCTATATCCAAGTTTCAACACATAACTCAGTAGCAGCAACATTGATTCCAAAAACAAGGAACGATTCACAAAACCCTATTCTAAACCCCAAAAACCAAAAAACAATTCATTCCAACAAAAATTTAACATAAACAACATCAATTTAAAAAAAAAAGAACATCTGGTGTTAACAAGGTTGAGTATTGTTGTTCTTTTTTATGTAGGGCATCCAACTCCTTTCTGGCCTCTGCAAATCTCTCTTTGTCGTACGCGTGAACAAGGTAAACTTCACCAGCATCTGCCCTATGGATGAGGCGGTATAGACTACCCCTGTTCCACAAAATCAGGATTTGTGCAAAGTTAGCCTTCCATTACTTGCTTTAGATAGAAGTAGTTCAAATAATAAAATAATTCAGGAAGCAAATTGCTAAATTCACAACAATTTTGACTGCGTCCAGCAACCCCTCTCTCGTTGCAGTATCAACCCATGTGAGAAGGATGGCAGTGGCACAGCCATCAAGACTGCGGGACAATGCATTAGGAACTAAAAAATGTCTTTACCTTCGTAGATATTCTGTCACGATTGACTAATGTGACCGTTGTGTAACCGCACCAATGAAATCGTATGATTTACTTAATTTGAGATTCAACAACTCAAATCGGATTGTTTTGGATAAAACTCGTATCGAATTGTATAAATCGAATTGTGAATCGCAAGATTCTAACAACCATTGATTTTAGAGATATGAGAGAGAGATGTAATGGGAAATCAAGATTTACCTGATAGATGGGTGCTCTCACTGAACCAGATGTTGCCAGCAGTCTCTTCCCATTAGCATCTAAAGCCATTTCATGTCTATGTTCAGAGTTAGCATGATTACAAAACCTACATAATGGAATAGACTCAGGTTACCAAAGCTCCTTATTCATACTCATATATGTATTGAAAGAGTCACATGCAGCAAGATATAAGTGGCAGGGTTGTTTCTGTACTTTCACAATATGACTGTCCCAAAAAACAAAAGGTACAGATTTGACAATGGGCTTCACTTAAGAATTAAAACCACACCTTCCATCAATCTTGACTCTATTAAAATTTCAACTAATAGTAAGCCTAAATAAACGATAAGGTTACCATAACATTGAAGGGTTAAGCAATTCAAGTACCTGCTGCAATTTCTTGACCAAAGAATTTTACCTTGGTTTTGCAAGATCCATTCAAATATCTGAAGTAGAAGCTAATTTGGTGAGATTACACATATATTAAAAGCACGCTAATCTAAATTTTCTGGTGCAACTTTTGTGGACCACAACCGAAGGTTAATAGTGGTTTTAGTTTTATATCCTGGTATGGGGACATCATAGGCTACAGCTATAATATCTTCTCCTCCAACCCATTCTTTCTTTCCATCTTCGCCAAGAATAACTTCACGTTCCTCCTGCAGAAACATTTAAAGTAATTGTGACATGCAAATTCCATGTAACTCGTACCAACACCCACAAAGGCTAAGAACAAAGTCAAAGATAAAACACAAAAGATCAGAAAGAGAATTTTAAAACTCACCCATAAACCATGTGAGGAATAAGATCATTACGGATTGTGTTTGAATCTGCTATCGGGTCAAACTGATCCTAAAGTCCAACCATGAAATAAAAGAACTTATTAGTGCTCCTGTGACAATATTTCTTTCATGTTCAAGATAGTGAAAACATTAACTAAAATCATGGAAGGCCTAGAAAAACAGCAGCTACCAACTGTCCCCAACATTAACTCAGTTGATACGCGAAAATCTCAATGGCTGAAATCCATAAATTGATGACAACAAGCAAAACAGATTTACATGGTGCAACAGTAGTTTCAGAAAATGACTCCACTTTAACATATAAGAAATAACAGGGAATAAGTACACCATATTACATCAACATCAGCACTACTCTCGGAACCTTTCTCCTCCAGCTTCTTCTTTATAATGCTCAGCAGAGAGTCCTGTAACGTTTGTTCTCCACTAACTACCAGATTTTGTAAAGCAGAATGAACCCTGTTGCAGTCTATGCAACAGAACCACTTCCCCTTGGGCAATTCCTATTGTATGTGTGGTATCAACATATTATTCAAAAATAATTCCACTTGAACTAAATATATTCATGCACAAACATAATACAAACGTACTAAAAAAAATATAAATAAAAAACATATATACAGAGATGCTGAAACAAAGAGATGAAATGAAGTTAAATAATCTGCAGACCTTTAGATCATCCATTTGTGAAATGAAGTTAAATAATCTGCAAACTTTTAGATCATTCCATGGGTTGGGGGGACGTGCCCTCTCTGGACATACCCAAGCCATGGAATGAAGTATACCTTATTCAGAACTCAACATGGTAGACTGGTAGACTGGTAACTAACCAGATGAGAGTTGGCAGGAAAGAAGAATGATGATACCTATCCTAAATGCAGGTAACAAGTGAAAAACAAGTCCCCTCTACACAGCAGGGAATGTCCTAAAGCCCTTGAAATTCATTGTTTATGTTTAGCCCTAAACTCTATTTTATTTTATTTTTAAATCATAGCCAAAATAACTTTACAACGCCATTTCTGACACATTCAAACTATCTATATGAATCCAGAACATTTGGAAACAGAACATGATTGAGCATAGTGAAACAAGTTTTTACGCAGTGGGAATATGTACACTAAAAACACTCGTGGGCAATGATTATTGTCTATGAATGCCAAAGATACATGTTTTAAGGTTGTTCTACAGCAGCCAGAGTCTGGTGCTGAGTGGCTATCAGCACCAGTGTTGCACAAGAAATCTTGTACATGGAAAATTTATGTTCTAAATTTGTTATGCGAGCAACCCAGCAACCATTAAATGTAACCACTAATTTAAGAAACCCTACCCTTACCCCTTAGAAAAAGAAATAACACAAAAACAGTACAAAAAAAACATACCTGTGATGTGCAGGGAAATGGAAAAAAATAAATAAAATAAACAATTTGAGCAGTAGAAAACCTTTAAGAGAACCATGATCGTTCAGCCTCTGCAATTGATGCTGGAGAATAGTAGAATCAAGATAGGAACGAACAGTTTTCATATATGTTCCATTAACAAGCAATAGGGGAACAGCTGCAGCTCTCCGTGCAACTGAAAATGCCATCGCCAAAGCAGGATCCTCTGAAAGTGTTAACCTACAAAGTTTACATCATTAATCTATAAAGCAAGTTCCAAGGGAAACTTCCCTTCTAACTAATCAGCAAGGATCAAAATTCCAACCCAGTGTCATGTCAGTATGCATGGAAACATTAATGTTTCAAAAAGACTATAGAAAGAAACGAAAAAAGGAACTTGGAAATAGATGGAAACATTCGGAAACCGTGACTAAAATCTATCCATACATATAAAAGCCCAATAATTGATTGATTGAAGATATTTAAGTCGTGGGAATCAGCCTCTCCATTAGGAAAAAAATAGTAATAAAGTGGAGGGAAATCTATTTACCATCCCTCAAACCCAAATGTAAACAGGAGCTTTGTGCACTGGATATGACCTTCTACCATTACATTCATAGATACAAAGGCAAAGGTGTAGAACCAAGGCATTTTGTAATTCAATTTTATTCATAGAGGAACTTCAGTTTGATGAAATACCAGAATCAATGTCAAGGGGTATTATTAGATTAAAAAGTAATTTACAACGTTAATATTGTTTTTATTTCCCTCACGTTCTGTCACTTTCATTCTAAAGAAACTGTAAAGAGAATATACTTTGACTATTGAGTCATGCTAATCACAACTTAATGAATTGTTAAAAAAAATATCAAAAACTTTAAAATCTCAATAATAAAACTTCTACATATTTTAAAATATTTTTCTACACTTTATAGATATTTTATACATCTACCAATATTATTTACAGCCCTTTAGATTACCATTAGCATTTTCCAAAACACTTTAGTCATCTAACTTTTTTTGGGATGAATGTTGAATGAGCACATACACTGAAATAAAAATAAAAACAAAAGGCTAAAGAATTTCAATGAAGTCAGTTTCAATTGAAATTATGAGGAAACAAGTGCAGTGAATTATCTCTCTAGGCATAAGAGTTTTTGGAATCACTCTGCAAAAAAATAAATAATGGAGTTTATGAGAGAGAGAAATTGCCCTAAGACGTGGCGGCCACCATCATAGACAGCTTGGGAGATTAAACCCATCAACCCAACGCTCCCTCCTCCATACCCAAAAAAAAAATTATATCAATTACCATAGATATTATTAAAGTACTACATTGAATTTAAGTTAACCATGTGAATTCATGCAAGAAAGTCACAAATTTAGTTGGTGGATAACGGTGTCAATTTCTTGTTTTTTTGTAACAAGAATAAAGTTTTTCTTTTGTAAAAAACAAAAAAACTTGCTTGGTGTATAAAAATATTTTGAAAATAAATAAAAATAAGTAACAAATAAACATGTTTGATGGGTTACCAGAGGTGGCGGAGAGTGGCTTAATGTACTTCTTCAAAAACGCCACAAACTACTTCTTGTCAAAAGCAGGTTGCTCCTGCAAATAATAACGAATTTCATGTTTCAAATAGCGCAGAAAATATATGAAACGGCTGATATGACAGATGACTTCAGTTACCTTAACACCTTCTGAAGAATGATTAGCACCAGTATCTACATTTAACGCTTGAACAACCCACTGCTACACATCAGAATCACGAATATGTAAATGGCATGATTTACTTTGAACACTGCATCTTACATGATTTATTTCATGTGATACAACCCCCCCCCCAATAAATACTGGCTAGTTGTATGTTTAAAATAAAAACTATAAATTTTCTTCACGCTGAAGCTAAATTTTCCCTACTGCCAAAAAGAAAAGAAAAATAAATATTCAAAAAATTCCATCAAACTTCAAATATTTGTCCCCATCCACCACCTTATCAACACTAATTTCAATAAACCTCTCCCATTGGGGCAAAAAAATAAAAATTAAATTAAATGGTTTTCAAAAATAGTAATCTCAAAGTTATTATTGCAAGCCTAACCAGAGAACTCAAATCAACTATCATGAATCCAAAGTAATTGAACCTGTAAAACTCATTTGAAACTTGAGTTGGTCAAACCACACCTAAACTGTCCAACTTTAAATTTTGAGCTTCATCAGCCTCCATGTTTCCACAATGTTGCACAGACATACCTTGTATGCACCCTTGACTCCACCAATTTCAAGAGATGACTCAATGCCTCTCTTGATAAATTGCCTTTCTGTGATTCATCACATGGTCTGTGGCCTTCCTCCCCACAAGCATGTGCACCTGATGTAATGTCTGCAAAAGACGGCTATAAATTGAATCTATCAAAAGAGATACCCATGGACGACAGGTGCACATAAACTAAATAGGATTGATTGAGTGACACAGTAATCATGTAAGATGCAGTGTTCAGAAAAACTTATGCATCAAACATCATTATTTCTTATAAACTACTACATGTACATGCTATATTATTAATTTATTGAGTGTCTTTAGTGCACCCATTTCACTGCATAGAATTATAAATTCTTATTGAGCCAAAGAATACTAAGTGTCATAGGCATCAATATAGCCAATTCAGGATAAACAATCCCTACACATAATGATGAATGCGAATTTGTCCTACATATAAAAGGAAACAACATGCACACCATTCAAACTTCTTAAATGTACAGTCAAGCTCTAAATATTTGACTAATTTCTTGATCAACTTAAACAATTCAATCTAAGAAAGCCTATTATCACAATTACTAAGGGTTGACAACAAAAATCATTTCTCATTAATCATCTTCATCTATGGCTAGATTTGTACAAATTTATTAAATCATAAAAAAAAAGAATTC